TTCATTTCCAGTGGTTGCGCGCATCGCTGAGGACGAGAAACCAATTAAATTCTCTCGACCACTTCGCACTTTTCAAGATTGAGTTCACCAAATTCGTATGTAAAATTACAGAATCACAAAGAAATATAAAATACAAGAAACGAACGGAGAACATTACAACAACAAAAGTGTCAGTATAGCAAACAAAATACTCTCTTTCACACACATTAATGATATGTGAATCAGACGAATGCTTCCGTTACACCATGCGTTACTGGGTTGAGGAATCGGTAAAATTCACTTATTATTCATGATCAGGTTTCATGATATTCATAACAACCTTCAAGACACACATTACAAGAGTAATCGTTTTGTTTAAGTCATATAGGCCTATAAAAATGGAAAAGCTCACACATTACATACAATCGATTTTCGAGCAATATGCATAACAACCTAATATAAATTAAAGAACATGTGTGTTGTTCAAGGGCAGCACGTGTTGTTACACTTATGACAACGGTTACTGCGAATGAGAGACAAAAGAGAGAGAGAGATAGAGAGAGAGAGATAGAGAGAGAGAGAGAGAGAGAGAGTGAGAGAGGGTGTTAGAGAGAGGGAGAGAGAGAGAGAGAGAGAGAGAGAGGGGGGTGGTGGAGGAAGAAACTGAATAGAGAGGAGAGTGGAGAGGGGAGGGAAGGAGAGAAAAGGGGATTATGGGGATACAGGAGGGAAAATGGGAGATGGAGGGGGGTGTCAAGCCCGGGCAATGGCAGGTATATCAAACAGATATACCTGATTTGTAGTTCTGTTCACATCCAGGAAAAACAAGGAGTCATAATAGCATTGACCTAGTACAATCATCAACAAAATAACAAGTTCAAGATCACAAACAGATATAAAAACAGAAACAAAACAAGTCAGCTACCACCTGGATGTTAAATCAATCACGTTTCAACAGGATAATCTAACCACGATTGGTTTACAGATGATCAGATATGGTGAGGTTTGTATAAATAATTTAATAGCAAATTGATTTTTGTCTTCTTCGAGGGTACATCACCAAAAAGGAAAAATTACATAAACTATAAACTAACAGGAGAATTGTATATTGCATGTACATATGAGTCGCAGAGAGAAACATACAAAGAGGGAGTTTGAGTGGTGATAGAAAAGGGAGGGAAAGAAGGAAAGAAAAGGTAGAGAGTTAGAAAAAAGAACCATAGAGGGAAAGAAAATGAGTGGGTAGAAATGTTCACATCGTTTCATAGTTAAAAATAGAGTTGAGTTTCAAAAGTCGTTTATGTAATGAACGAAGACAGTATGATCTCGCTTTTAACTTAGTTACGCCCAAATTGCAAATTGGTTTAACCGCTGTAATTAATTGTGATCTGATCTTAATCCTTTTTCCTGTTTCATACCTTAAGATTGAACCGATTAGTGACACGTGTCAGGTTATCACATGGACGGTATTACCATATTACGTGTTCACAAGAATAAGGGTTCATTCATATTTTATTAAGTGGTGAAGATTTTGAAGAGGTTTGACACTCTAGATTATACAGATTAGTTTATATTCATAGATTTTTTTAATGGCTTCTTCGTCCGTATAAATCACACCTATATAGGCAGTAATTTTAGCACGTGTTCTATCCTAGTCGACTCGTGCTTCTTACTTATGACAATTCTTGAAAAATACTAAGGTCTGTTTTCCAATTAATGATACAACATCGATTAGCATAATGTTGTGTTGTTTCCAATGACATTACGTGTACAAACCAATTATTATACAAATAGGACTTTACAAACGATAGTGGACAACTGATGAGATATTCCATTAAATGTGTGGTAATTAGTAATCAAAATTAATTACAGATTAAAGAAATAAATCAACAATAGACGCATTATGTAGAATGTGTAGATAATGGCCACTATTCGTCGTAAATTGTACAGATATAATTTTTTTCTTCTTCCAGTATTGAAATAAGCAGATCTGAAATATAACCTTCTAAGACAATCATAGGGCCTGCTAAAGAAAGGGGGAAAAATAAATTTGATGGAGTCTGCAACCCCCCCCCCCCCCCAGAATAGAAAATCTAGCATTTTCTTGGTTGTGACTTGTGAGTGCAGATTGCCGTTATGCAAATCTTGAGTCAACAGAAAATGAAGAGAGACAGGAGAAAGTTTTGAAGTTTTGAAGTTTTGAAGAGATTGAAATAACGATACGTCTTACGTCTTGACACATTTGTAACTTTCTTAAGATAATTATGGAGCCTGCAGAGTCAGGGATAGAAGATAGACTGTTGACAGAGAAAAGGAAAGAAGGGGATGGAGCATGGAGAAAATATTTTAGACTCATCCATCGCAGCCCTATCAAGAAAGAGTGAAACAGAAATCGGGTTTCCATCAAATCTGAAGATTGAATCAATCTATCCCTCATCGTCTAAAGTACAACGCGTTCTACAGTTTCGAGTGAATCATAGCAGGGAGGGAGACGAGGGGATGGAAAGAGAGAGATTGGATGAGTGAGAAACAAGATGAAGGCAAGAAATAGAATTTGGAAGTCATCACCGAGATGTTTCTTCTTCTACGAGTGTGGCTTCATGGAGTGGTGAAAGGTTCGAAACTGAGATTGGCGCTGGGTACACCCAGGGGGCTTCATACCATGGGGTTTTATACCAGAGGGGGCGACCCAGCCGACAAAATTCACACGTTGACTAGTCTGGATGACGTAGGCAGTTGTATGGGTTTCTACTAAAAACTTGAGATTCTATTTCAACTTTTAAATGAAGACTGAGAAAACTTTCGACATAAAATATGCATGACTGTCAGAAGGTTGTATGATTACTGTGATCATGCCAAATCATGCGATGTTTTGCCTTTCATTATTTACTTTTCTATTGCTATATTATTTTGTCCCCTCATACTATTTCATTTTGTCATCACAAAATGACATTCGAATTATGAAACATTTTTCAAATAATAAAGACCTCCCAGCAACCTTTTTACTTTCTACAGCCGAATCATTCATCGATTTCATCTCATGCTAATTGGTGAATGAATGCATGTTCTGCGGTATGTTACAAGAACTCGGTCTTGGTATGTGGCGAAGGTGATGACGAATTCGTGATCTTTCTACACCCCTCATGCCATGCCCTCATGCCATGGGTGCCATATCATATACCAGGCTACCACGCCCACACAAATCATCTAAATGTATAAATATAATGTGCAGGTATGTTCATGCAGCCCCGAATTTGCGATTGATTTGAAACGCCATCGGCAGTCACGGTAACACATACTGCAGACTATGCAGTCATATTTCAACCAAGGTATGGAAATGACTTGGAGAGGTAACTTAATATCGGACATCTTAGTGGCAACATGCAAGGAATGGTAATACTACACCTTTATGCCCGTCAATTCTAATTAAGGAGAAATTCGACAGATGAAAGATTTCTGCTCCACATCTCGATCGATAAAAGTTTAAGTTACAATTATTACTTTCTTTCCAGTGAAATATAAATCTGAAGTTTATTACGATATTCAACCAAATAAATTAACAAATTGCTAATACTTAGCAGAAAACAAAAGTTACGAACATCATTTATCTTTAAAGGGGACAAAATTGATTACAATATTCATCACTAAAAAAATAAATGCATTTCTATTCTTGACCTCGAAATTAAAATGATTAAAGTCATTTTAATTTCAAGTTTAAGGATATAAATGCGTATGTTTGAAATCCTGGTTGAAAGTGATGTCTTCCGGAGAATGCAAAACAATAAGGAAAGAAACATGAAGAAAAGCACTCAAAGAATCTCTAGAAACTAATCGAAAGAACTGAAGATTTACTTTTCAGGTTTTTATTTTTAGTATGATATTGCAGGTTTTGATTAATCCATTCTAACTCCATTCAGAGACAATGTTGCTCCGTTCATGAATGTAGCTATTTCGAACAAACCATTGTAAATCTTGAGAAAGAACAGGAAGTAATAACCAAAGAACAGATGTTTGTATATATATCAGTCCTTCGAAATAACACAGTCATCTTGTTATTACTAATAGTAGGGAAGTGGCAATGGTAAAAAGTTGAAAAGGAAACGCTTGATAATTTGACAGTATAAACATAATCTAAGTGAGAGTGATTGTCTTATAGAGCAAGATAAACAAAAGGAGATGTCAATCATTCGTGACAGACTTCTTTGTAAGATCTTCGGATCATGTACGACTTCTTGGATATGATTGGGAAGGATTTGGGAAAAGTGCTGTTTATTTTATTAGACTTTGCAGCGGGTGGCTATAAACTAGCTTGATTTCTGCTGACTAGTTATGACTTCAACCATGGCTAAATACAATTTGCAAGCAGCCACATCTTGTGCTGGCTGTCTCGAATCCACTGATCCCAATAGCTCTCGCAGCGAATCATCCAAATATTGTTTTCCTGTCATTTTCCCCCTCTATTTGAGAGTAAAAACATTGCACAAGAACAACGAAATCAGATTCGTGACACAATCAATGCGTGCGGGCAAATCCTGCAAGGGATGGAAGAATCCCCTTCCCTCCTTATGAAAAAAAAAACCAGTTACTGTTGTAACGTTTCCCAGGATAGAGGACTTTCGCTGTTTTTAAAAACATCCCCCCTATGATCACGGGTCTGCCGTTGAGATGTGTACGCTACTGAACATTCTTTTTAAATTGGTTTCCTTATAATTTAATATTATTACGTGTTGAGCTGAACTTGAAACAACCGCGAGAAGAAGTACAATGCACACCCCCAGGCCTCAGGCTCAGGAGCTTCAAAAACTTTGCTGCAACCAACATCACACATGATCAATGATTCAATACACATGGTTATTCGTAGACAAACATGACAAATATATTTAAGGAAATAATGCTGAGATGCATGGTTCGATTAACAAATTTGAGGAATGATTGTATTATATACAGGCTATCCATATCAATTTTACAATTAACATGAATTGAATGAGCTCAATTAAGATGGAAGATTGAATTATACTAACCAAGTAGATGGGATAAAAGGTGCTTTCTGCTTCCAGTGGTGAGTGGGTATTCCAATTTCTGGCAAGATCCTGCAATTTGTGCAAAATAATTATGTTTCACTAAAATCCACGTTCAAGTATGTGGAGTCGAGCTCAAGACGTCCCACCAAAAATGTATTTACTGGTTCATCTCAGAAAAATGTTATTGGTCCTCAAATCTCTTTCTCTGATTATATCTTGACAATTCAAATCCTCGAGCTCTTGCTTTGGCTTGGATGAAGCAAATATTTCTAGGACAGTAAACTGCAGGAAAAGTACTATCCTTGGTTTGGTTGTCAAAACACGAAAACAGTGTTTCTGTCGAGGGCATGTAGAGTCAGCAGCAGCCTGTCCGAGAAATGGAATAAACAGCTAGTTTCAGACGAGTAATGAAATTGTAACTGAATTACTGTCAAGCGAGGCACAAGTGCAAAGCGAATGGATTTATGACCTGACGGCACACCGCTGATATGATTTATATCACCAGAGGAGAACTTTCTCTGCTGATGCCTGCGGTATAGTTATCACCGTGAGCGGTCTGCTCGCACGCTGTCTCGTGGTTTTTCTTTGGCACCGCGCGTGTGCGTCCGTCCGCTCGTCGCTTTGCTCGTACAGCAGATACCAGGAGCCAATTAGTCTGAACTCTAAATACAACCTAACGTATCTAACCACAACAAAATCCTGTTTATCAGTCTAATATTGTGTAATTGTCTACTTTTGATGACCAAGATAACGTTGTTTTGTTCCATGGTAATTTATTTAAACATAAGCGAGAGACTGTCAAAGAGTTCGTTGCCTGATTGCTATTTTATTTCAATACGGTTTATGTCCTAGGTTTGCAAAGACTAATTCAAACGACGTTCTCTTATTCGTCAGGGATTATCACTGTCAATATTATGCGTTCCACCAATCAGCTTACAGGCTAGGCGCCAACTTTCCTAAGAAAAGAGCGGGCAAAGATATTACTAGTATTCAATAAACATACTTTAAAGTAACTATGTCCCTTTTGCAGCCAACCTCGAATTCTGTAGAACTTTGCAGGAATTATGAATATGTCATGTATGTCCTATCTGTGAAATTTAAAAGTTAGCAGTGTCCTCATATTCAAATTATGCAAGGAAACCCGTTTACTTGCTAGACTTCACTGTCAGACACTATGAGTGACTGACTGGCTTTTTTTTCTTATTTGGTAATAACATACATGAAAAGAGTTGTAAAGGGTACATGAGCATTTGTCTACATCAATAACCCACTTCTTGTGATGGCCAAGATTAAACTGATTGAATCTTTGCACAGCATAAAACGTATGACCATTCGGTACAATAATTGTCTGAAAATCAAGACTATTACTTTTGGGCTCTATAGCCCTAAAGTCGATTTGATAACTAATAGTCATTATTTTCCCACTTGAAGACATTTTCAAGCCCCACCTTTTTGAGGGAAGTTCTAAATAAGTATTATCTTTCAAATGCAGTTAGAATTAACTTTTTCATTTTTTTGGCCTGCAAATGGGACATAGTACCTTTAATATACTTGATCGTAACACTAAACGACTTTTATTTTCTCATCCGGCATAGTGTATTGATTTTTTTTTTGGATATCATTTTACTGTTATTCTGATATAGCAAGAAAGTGTGTCAGGCATAGAAATCGAATGATAACAAAAGAAGTATAAATGTTGTTTTCTAAATTTGAAAATATTGGTTGGTTTGTTAATTTTACCTGACTGCTAAGAAAGCATGTGCTTGTAAGCAGCAACCAGGGGACCGACGGCTTTAAGTCGTCTCCGAGGGACTTGGTAATTAGGATTAATACCTTACCAAGGGGCACTACAGCTCATCAATTTGGTTTCGAACTCGGGACCTCACGGAACCACTGCTCTACCACTGAGCCATCACTCCTCCATTTAATATGATAGAACAAATACAAATATTGATCGGGGTAATCACAAATTAAAAATCATGATCTCTAAATAAACTTGGTATTGCGAAACTGTCGAACACCTGGCCAAACGATTAACAAAAATAAAAATCCTCGCCACACAAAATCATACACCCCAAACCCACACAAACATTATAAACCCACATACTAATAGGAAAGTGCGTAGCTATAAAATACTGAAGCAAACAAAATTAACAAAGAAAAAAAATGAGGAGAAAATTAATGACAAAAACAATCATTCCTACTATGTTTCTACTAGGCCTTCTGCAATGATAATCATAATATCAAAATTAGTTTTATTTTATGAGACATGTACTTTGATTCATGTGTGTTGATTTCCTATTTGTCCATCCCTTGTTTTTCTTTGACTATTTTGTTGTTCTTGTTGGGCTTATTTCATGAGAAAGTATCGTTACCCATGCTGGTGATGCCTTTTGCTCCTTATTTTTTTTCTTCTTCATTTTAGGTTTTTGTAGATTTAAATTTAACCAGATGAAGGGTCATGATGTACGTTTTGTCGCCTTGCTCCCCCTCTCTCCCCCTCTCTCTCTTTCTCTCTCTCTCTCTCTCTCTCTCTCTCTGTCTATGTCTCTCTTTCTCCCCTCCCTCTGTCTATGTCTTTTCTCTGTCTCTCTGTCTCTCTCTCTCTCTCTCTCTCTCTCTCTCTCTCTCTCTCTCTGTCTCCCTCCATAGCTCGCTCTTTCACGCACCATATCCCTATAAGGCTAAGGTCATGATATCGCAATCGCATGGGTTTTTTTTCACCATTAATTTATTATGTCCAACATAGACAATGTTATAAATGTTGCAATGACAGTGGAATGGGGAGACTTCCTTACTCATTATTGTTCCACACTATGGAGTCATATGATACAATAACCCCTAAATTTGTAAAATTCTATTCTGTGTACATGATGCAAACTATATTTTCATAATTTTCAACCAAAAATATCGAATATTGATTTGTTAAAGGTACTATGTCCCTTTTGCAGCCAACCTCAAAATGTTGTAGAACTTTGCAGGAATTATGAATATGTCATGTATGTCCTATCTGTGAAATTTAAACGTTAGCAGTGTCCTCATATTCAAATTATGCAAGGAAACCCGTTTACTTGCTAGACTTCACTGTCAAACACTATTGAGTGACTGACTGGCTTTTTTTCTTCTTTGGTAATAGCATACATGAAAAGAGTTGTAAAGGGAACATGAGCATTTGTCTACATCAATAACCCACTTCTTGTGATGGCCAAGATTAAACTGATTGAATCTTTGCGCAGCATAAAACCTATGACCATTCGGTACAATTGTCTGAAAATCAAGACTATTACTTTTGGGCTCTATAGCCCTTAAGTCGATTTGACAACTAATAGTCGTTATTTTCCCACTTGAAGACATTTTCAAGCCCCACCTCTTTTAGGGAAGTTCTGAATTAGTATTATCTTTCAAATGCAGTTAGAATTTAACTTTTTCATTTTTTTGGCCTGCAAATGGGACATAGTACCTTTAAAAGTGATGTGTTTATTTTATGTGATATTGCATTAACTTTGTTTGTCGTACAATCGTAGACCATTCTCTCTCTCTCTCTCTCTCTCTCTCTCTCTCTCTCTCTCTCTCTTGCTCCTCCATCTCTCTCTCTCTCCTCCATCTCTCTTTTCTCTCTTCGAGGTAATGAGAAATCCCATGCAAGAAACGAACATGCAGTGCCCTTTTTTGTGTCCCTTTTGCAAAGAATGCCAACATTTGCATTATATTTTCTTCATATTTTCAGACACGCAATAGGTTAGGTAATAAAACAAAATAGGTTGCAACACAATGAGCTTCAGATTTTTTTTTCCTCACTCGTTAATCACGTTCCCATTGTTTATTTCCTCTAATGCACCTACCTGTAGAAATCAAAAGGCGATATAAGATAAACAAAACACTTCATGTTCATTGCTAAGTATATGATGACGGAAGTCAATCCATATCATATTTCGTGATTTTCCATCTCTTTAATATCATATCATGAAATTTTTGTCCTTGACGTCAATGCCAAAATACTTTAAAATAACGAAAAGTTCAAAATCCTGATGCAATGTGAGGTGAAATTGTGAAATTATCTCTTTCTTTTAAAAAACTTACTACAGGCCCGGAAAGAAGGAAAAAAAAGCTTGAAATAATTTGATTTGATTCGTTTGAATGATTCTATTTATTTTATCACAATAGTCTATTACTGTATGTTCAATTTTGTCTGTCTGGAAATTACACGTTTTGTTATACAATTTGTATAATTACATATATTTGTGCAGTGCTGTTCATTGTTTGTGAAATTCAGGAAGATTTTAAACATGATATTGAATAATAATAATCACCCTGTTCACAAGTAATCAGCCGTTCAAAGTATAGCATTGACCCACCAGATCTCAATTATAGCTCATATAGTTTATAATATAATTTTTAAAGTTAGACTTTAAAGTTTCTTTCAACATCATTTCAGAAAAAAGTAACTCTGCTTTGCATAAAAAACAATTGACCATTATAACCATGGAAATGGATTTTAACAATAGAATTCAATCATTCTTTTCTCTCGCCATGTATATTGGACCTTGTTTATCTCAAAATCTACAGTTCTGAGTGTATTATGGTATTGGGAACTATGACTGATACTGGCAAAGTGTCGCAATAATTATTTGTAGTATACACATTTTTAGGTTCGATTAGTCAAGGATAATGAATTGTTTTTATAAAAAATAAAAGTAGTTCCCACAGAATATCAGATCACATGACAAAGATTGCTCAATTGGTTTTTTCTTTGCCATGACGTCATGCACAACAAGGTGAACGACGGTCTGGTGATCAGAACAGAAGATTGCGTAATCATTCTATATTGTCACGACTCAATTGCGATTTTTGTTAGTTTGTTTGCTTTGTTTTTTGTTGTCTTGTAATTGTTTAACTTTGAAATTAAATATAGTCGTAAATAATCACTGTTGCTATATTGTTGCCTCTGTGTTAGAACAATTATTCAAGACATATAACGCTCGTTTACGGAAGATCGAGTTCATCATCAACTCTAAAAATAATGCAGGGTAATTATGATAATAAACACAAAGAAGGCATGCGTATAGTTATAATCAAGCCCCTGCTAAAATCACCACCCCCCCCCCGATTTGATCCGATTATTCTGAGCTTTGATCCCTGATTAACAGTATACTGATCATAATGAAATAAACGGATCGTCATTTTGATTTGAAAACTAAAGTACGAACAGAAACATGCCTATCTGCGGTTGGAATACCCTGCCGGAGGTCTGGGCATAGAGTCTCAGGCATACCGGGGGGTCGAGACAGCGACCCGGCTATGATTCCATTAACATGATTAATTTGATCATTGCATCTCAGTATTATTAGCAAAGATATCGAGGGAAAAAAATGGGAGAGATGATTTGAATATATTCACAAATATAATTTCAGGCTTACATTGTCCTCATTTACGAATGACATTTTTAAAAGTTAGAATCTTATGTGGATGTCATTATAGGAAATAGGAGAGAAATGTGTTTCTTGTCACGTGTAGGCCACCAAAGGACCAGCATCCGAGTCTGCTTGAAGTTTTTTCTTATTGTTATAAGTAGAGAGACAGTATTGATAAAGACAGACGTGTCTTGCTTTCCCCTAAAGTTTATTTTTAACTTCATTTAAAAGAACCTTTTGCTTACAGCAAAGACATGGTTTAAACTTCTTCCTATTTTGTTTCTGCATTATTCTAAAAGATTTAAATGGTATAAAATAATAATATTATTATATCAATGGGAAACTAATACAAATATTGAAAATTGATTTTAAAAAAGATTTGTAAATTACGCCTTGCTCTTCCGAAGGGAATTGATTCTCTTTCCCGTTAATACTCATCTATTCAAAGTCAGAAAGGCTTTAACAATACGATACAATCCAATCCAATCCAATCCAATCCAATACAATACAATACAATACAATATAATACAATATTATACAATACAATAGGTTAACTCCACTTTAGCTCTTTCTCTTATTCGATGTTTGTAACTTCATTTCGAACGTTCAATATATAAAATGTTCAATAGTTGACATGTGTAAAATAGGGTTCCAACATGAATTGTGTATCATGACGGGGACTCGAGTCGTAATAATCACATCACATGAGTATATTATGCAACATGTATACATTGACACATGCAAACATTGTCACATGCATACATTGACACGTGCAAACATTGTTACATGCATACATTGTCACATGTTTCGTGTCACCTTGATGGCTAAATCATAGGCTTCATGGCCCGAATTCACAAAGGAGATTTGTCGACAAACCTTGGTTTTCGTACGTCATATGACGCGTTTTACGCTTTTTTTACAAACCTGGTTTGTAAAGAACAAAAGGAGGTTTGGCGAAACAAAAGGAGGTTTGAGCTCAAACCTTGCTTTGTGAATTCGGGCCCATGAGTTTGGTTGAAAAACACATCTGTACAATAATCATTGTTCTAGTTTCCTTAGCTTTGTGCCAATTACATCATAGATGTATTAAGCGCTATATAAAAGCATAATTATTATTATTATTATTACATGCCCTAGATTGGTTTCGTGATAAACATGTCGACTTCTTTCTCAGAAACTTAGAGTATAGGCCTATTAAGAACTCCAAATAAATCAGTATCAAGAGAAAATCACAACAATTTGAATTTTTCAAAAATAATGGCGTGAGAGAGCTTGTTACCATGGGCAAGCTGTTACTATTCTTTCATGTTTACCATGCAGTTTCATGGGCTATAATTCGTGATCTGAAGCGATAAAAACAAAAGGGAGAGGGGAACTCCCGATTTTCAATTATTGGTACTGACAACGAGGTGCTAGCCTGCATCATGGTGAATAACGCACCATCGATGTTCATCATAATCATGCCTTCAACTCTGTCTCTGTTTATTCTCCCCTCTCAAATATCATAAGGTAATAAAAACTTTGTTTTATATAGAGAAAGCTAGTACGTCAAGTCTAGAATAGGCCTATAATAAATAGTCCCTTCTCTCATAAGGACAGAGGGTGGGGGAGTGAGTGAGAGAGGGAGAGAGAGAGAGAGACAGAGACAGAGAGAGACAGAGACAGAGACAGAGAGAGAGAGAGAGAGAGAAAGAGAGAGAGATAGAGATAGACAGAGAAAGGGGGAGGGGGGGGGGTAGACAGAAGGAAACAGACAGAGATTCATTATAGTTTTAGACTCGAGTATACACATTTACATGTATTGGGGGAACCCATCATAAATAGCCTAAAATATGATGGTGTGTTATGTCAATTCCTTAGTTATTCTAATTATCATTACAAATTTAACTATTTTGCCTGTCATTTCCGACAACTTTTGCTATAAGACGTACTCTCTAATTTCAACAGAAAGTACACAGAGTTGGTTCTCAATACTGATGCACAAAATAATATTTGGGGCCTCGATTGATTTTGTCAAGAAGATATAGTTAAGAAGTAGGATCCAAAGAAAACAGTATTTGGATATATGCAATAAAAGGTTTTCTCTAAAATAAATGTTACATTCTTTAACTTTACAATGTGCAAACTGGAGTCCGATATGAGTTGTCAGATGATTCACAAGCATCTAATCTGTCATTGGCACAGAAATGTAGTACCGCTAATTCTTGAGATGGCGCTATTCCACGAATTGTTAGAATATCATTGGAGGACATGCATTATGCACTATGGAATAGAAATGAAATAGATAATAGATAATTTGAAAAAAAGCAATGCCACTCGTATGCCCTTTATCATTTTGGGTTTTAAATTGTGTTTTGTCCACAAATATAAATATAGCGATGTAAAACGTGAGTAGGGGAATTAATAAATTAGAGAGAGGAAGAGAGAGAGAGAGAGAGAGAGGGGGGGGGGGAGACAGACAGAGAGTGACGGAAGGAGGGAGGGAGGGAGAGAGAGAGAGAGAGAGAGAGAGAGAGACAGAGAGAGACAGAGAGAGAGACAGACAGACATATACAGAGACGGTCATTTTTTTTTGGGGGGGGGGGCGGAGATAGGAAACGGAACAATTAGAGAAAGTTTGAAAGCGCGGAAACCAGCAATCTTACTGCTATTCAATATTAATCCAGCGCCCTCATTTGGGCGTTGGGTTTTAATTTCAAAATTTTGCATATAGATATAAGAGAGAAGGATAAAATGAAGGAGAGGGGAAATAGGAAAAAAGTTCAGATGGAGGAGAAGGAGGAGAAGAAGAAGAAAAAGAAGAAGAAGAAGAACTGAAGTAGAAGAAGAAGAAGAAAAACTGAAGTAGAAGAAGAAGAAGAAGAAGAAGAAGAAGAAGAAGAAGAACTGAAGTAGAGGAAGAAGAAGAAAAACTGAAGTAGAAAAAGAAGAAGAAGAAGAAGAAGAAGAAGATATAGAAGAAGAAAAGAAGAAAAACTGAAGTAGAGGAAGAAGAGGAAGAAGAAGAAGAAGAAGAAGAAGAAGAAGAAGAAGAGAAGAAGAAGACGAAACGATTTCTGTACATGGTTATCCGATATTGAGGATGAAATACACGAAACAATGCTGTTTCGGTGCAGGGAAATCAATAAAGAAAAAAACCAACAATAACAAAAACTCATATTGGATCCAGGGGGATAATTCGACCGTGATGGAGGAAGGAAGAGGGAAATAAAGAAAACACTTCTGGCCGGGGATGCGTCGAAAAGTAGTTGATATATTTAAGGAGGACCATTAGAAGCGTTGCATGTCTCTTAATTCTTAGACATTGACACTACAACTGCGATTTTTGCCATCCTTTGTTTAATAAATAAAATTTGAGTATAACCTTCATGCTTTGATTTTAATCGGCAAATTGAATTTTAAAATGACCTGCCATTATTCATACTCAAAATGGGGGGGGGGGGGGGCTGGGGACAGGTGCGTCGCTAAAGGGGGGGGGGGGGGTGGGGTGCGACATCCCCACCTGTTAGGATATTGTAGGTAAAATTGCGGTGCCGTCGGGAAAAATGAGAAAAGGGGGAGGTAAAAAAAATTAATCGAGAGGGAAAGAGAAAGAAAAGAAGAAAAAAAAAGCAAAGAAAAAGGAAAGAAAGGCAAAGAGAGGATAGAGAACAGAAGAAGGAAAGAGAATAAGAAAAAGAGGAAGGAGAGGAAAAAAAGAAAGAAAAGAAAAGAAAGGAGAGAAGGAAAAAAAAGAAAGAAAAAAGAGTGGGGGGGGGGTTATCATCTTTCCTTGAACCTTGAACCTTTGAATGATCATGATCTAGAAGCTGTCCTGGGATGATGATGTCAGTCAGTCTGAGATGCAAGGGTGAAATAAATAATCCTATTTTCCATCATTTTACGATATGGACAACAATGATTTTATACAATGTGTGCTGATCGGATGAGGATATTAGCAGACGACAAACCAATGAGCTTTGTGTGTAAACCGTGCAAGTACAGCATCACAGCGCCAAGTTTTGCGTGGGTATAATTCACTCATACAATCAATACACGACCAGTATTGTGCAGACGCCTGCTATACGCTACGTGTCATCTCATCTAGGCTGCGCTGGCATAGAGCCTCGGCTGGGACACAGGTGTCTCAAAAACTTGTCTTCTGATCGTGTTTCTGCCTTATTTCCACCACATCCAGCTCAGTTAATATCGTATAGGTATGTGAATTCAATTTGTTTTCTTAGTTGCATATGCTCAAGTCATATATAGTAACGGTATTGCATTATACCACTGAAGAGACATATGCTTTTGCCAGTTTTCTCAGTGAAAACCAGCGGGTTGTGATGAATTCGATACGCCTGAAATGCGGCGTAGCTGGAGCCGTGTGAAGCCTCTTTATCCACCGCCGGCTGTGAGCTGTGATTGTGTTCCGACTGAGTAGCCATGTTTAGCTGTTTAGTATTCAGTATTCAGAATCCTGCTTATGCGATTATGAGAAGAAAAAAAAATCTATTGTGTTTGTTGGAACATATGTGCTACTTGGAGAGAAAAGGATGATGTTATCGACAATATTCTGTCCATTGTGGTAATCATGATGAGTGAATGAAATGTGCATTAATGATAAACTAGTATAAATAGTAAACAGACCCTTTGATGCTGCCCAGCTCCCAGGGTTTTGTTTCTTGTAATTTGTGATCATTATTACAATTTGTGATAATTCTTATATTAATGTTTGACCAATTCATAATATGGTGGTTCGGCTTTTTGTCATCACTGGCATCATCATCATATCATCATCATCATCATTACTAATTATTATTATAACTTAGGGCCTAAGATTATTATCACTTTTATTATTATCATTATTATTATCATGATTATTGTTATTATTATTATTATCATTATTATGATGATGATCATCATCATCATCACCATCACCATCACCATCACCATCACCATCACCACCACCACCACCACCACCACCACCACCACCACCACCACCACCACCACCACCACCACAACCACCACCACCACCCGACCACCACCATCATCATCATCATCATCACCAATTACTATTATAATTGTTATTATAATTGTGAATATGATATTTATTATTATATTCCACATACACCTGTACTAAGAATCTTGCTCTACGATTGGTCAAAAGTAAATCATGTGATGAAAGATAGTTAGCCCATCATTGATTGGAGAAGAAAAGTTTTTTGCACTGTGTAGATAGTAGTACCATCTACACAGTACAACCAAGATGTTACTAGTAACTTCTTGGTACAACGCACTTTCACTGAAGATAGAAGTACTGTACTATCTACACAGTGCAACGCACTTTAATTGTATACGTTGCGTATTGCTCTCCTCTTTAAGCGCTTTTAGTGTTAGTGCGCGAACTTTGGTCACGCGCGAACTATATGGTCACACCACCATACTGCATGCACTGTACGTATCATACATCGTTTGCTAGCTGTTAATTGATGACTTGTTGCTCTAAAATGACGGAAGAAGTGAAATGTTTCTGATGTGGAATATAAAGCAAATAATCACCTTTTGGTTTCAGGCGATGGCAAACTATCACTTCCTAATGGGGCTTTCACATATACACTCCGGGGCCCGTACGGCGAGTAAAATCAGACATTTTGGGAATTTTCGGCCGGTGTCCGGCCGGCTACCGTAAAGATCCTAGGGGCGCCGGGACAGTTTTTGAAGCCGTACGGGCGCCGTGGTGCTGAGTCGGCTGCTCCCAATTCTCCCGGCGTTTTTATCTGACTGTTAGGCCGTAGAGAGCCCGTGAAGGGCCCTCAGGGCACCTTACGGGTCCCGTGCGGGCTTCGGACGGTGTCCGGACGGGCCCCTCACGATTTCAGGGGGTCAATTCTCATGAAAAATCTTTACGGGCACCTTGCGGTGCTAACGGGTGCCGTACGTGTACCCTACGGCTCCCTCACGGGCCCCTCAAGAGCCCCGGGTTATATGCACAACACCGGGCGTCTGCCGGCCGGGGGAAATTTGAAATGAATATTGCCCGTGCGGGCCCCTCACGGCAGCATCTCAAAATGTACAACGCAGCTTTAAATATAGGAGGTGCGGATTTCAGAGGACACATAGTTCAGTGCACCGCACGGGACCCGGCCGGGCGCCTTGAGGACCCCGGCCGGGCCCCGGCAGGGCACCTTCCGGGAGCCACGGGTGCACCTGCTCATCGGACGGAGCACGTAAGCTTACCGGCCGGCATCTTTACGGGCGCCTTGCATTTCACCCGACCAATTTTTTCCGGGCACCTCCCGGGCGCCGCAGAATATGTGACCACACATGCCGTAGAAATGAAAATCGGACGGTTCCCGTACGGTCTCTAAATCCACGGCAAGCCGCCGGGTATGGAAAATCGTACGGGGCCCGGTTTATATGTGACCTAGGCATAAGCGATCTGAAAGATAGCTACATCCAGATCGCCTCAGAAGTGATAGTTTTTCCCATCACCTTCATCAACTGCAATTATTTGCTTATTATATTATTATCTTTATTATTATTGTTATTAATATTTATAGTATAATTTTGTTGTTGTTATTGGTGATGGTGGTGTTGCTGTTGTTATTATCATTATGCCCTATTAAATTGTTGATAACTTGATATATAATATATGATTACCATCAGTAGTATTAGCAATCAAGATGTGCCTGTAGAGTGTAGGCTTCCATCTTACATGTAGGTTTTCATACATAACAAACGATACAATAACATTCTTTAATTTCTCTAATTTCTCTACATTTCTCCTATAGGAATGTAATTTCAAAATGATTTTACCTGATGGTACTGTCGCTGCCCAGATGGCAGTAGGTTCAAATTGCTTCTGGTTCGCAGATTTTGTTTTCTTGTTTGTTTTTTATTCTGTATACCAATTGTGCATGTGATCTCAAAATGCTGGGAGTTACAGCAAGATTCTTTCTTAATCGTACACATAAAGTATTTTAAGTGAAAGCAATAAAAGTTAATTTAGTTTTACACCCCTCTGCATATTCCCGTTCTGAATTCGATGTACAGGCCAAAGTGTCTGTCTGCAATTTTATCTGAAATATCTAAACTACACTCTGAGCCTTTATAACATCGAACCTGGCACTTACACTGTAGTTGAACAAACAATTCAAATGCTTGATTTATAACATTGAATGCAGCAAAATGTTGTTATTTTGCCATGAAAAAAGCAATTAATGCAGTGAATGACTTGGTTTCTCAGATGTGTACATGTATCCTGATTCTCCAGATTCTCCTGAAGATTCTTACAAAGACACATAGCTTATATCATGCATGTTTTGATATTTATATCTTCGTGGAACATCAATCGGATATATTTACTCAGAAGGACAAAAAGTAGAGACAAAAAAGCTGTTGACATCCAATAATAGAAGACTGCAAGTCCAAAATAATGTAGAACTAAGAAGGCATGTGGCCATCTATTTATAGTATATGGAAACAGAATACTCTGAAACAATGCAAGTGACTCTACAAAGCAATTAGCAGCTAAAAACCTCATGAGAGAAGACAGCTCAGATTTTCAAGCTAACCAAAATTGTACTTGACGGATAAGGACAAAATCTCCCTTATTCCCTCACAACAAAGTGTGCATTTTGCTTTTATTTCAAACGATTGGCCTAGTTGTTATAATAGATATTTTGTTTCCTACAGATAATTAGCAGATTATAAATAGAGGCACATATTAATTGGTTAATTTTCTTTGTTATTATCCATCGATTCTCCCCCAAGACCAAGTATCATGTTTTGTTACACTGTGCTACACAATATGAATGTTGTATTCTTGATGGGGTGATTTCTTTTATCTTTCATGGCATTGTTCCATGTTTACAATTTTAAAAGTACTAATGGAAAAATACATATTAGGTATTTATAGATAGAGATTGATATTAGGTACATGTATCTTAGCGAATGCAAATGACATAGTGAATGATGTTAGTTATAAACAGTAATTTGTTGATGTATCTCAATGAAAGTCTAGGTAACATTAAGCCTGATTGAGATGGTACATGTATTTACTTGCTCCGTTTCCTAATGATGTAGTTGTAACTCTATGTGATAAATTATAATTTTCAACAATCATGCATTTTGCATTGTAATATCCAAGAAGGGCGTCTTGACATGGGTTTATGCTTTTTTCAATCTTCTCATATTCCATCTGCTAATATATATGCAAATGGACAGAAAGATCTCTTGTGCCTCGATGCCCTCGAGAACTCTTTTCTGCTGTAAGTTCCTTGTCCATAATATATAGTGCAAATCATGGTATTCTGTCATGAGAAGGTTTCTTTCAAATTACCGGATGGCTTACAATGAATAATGGAACCAGGTTGCCAATTTGGCTAAAGGAGCAGAGGGCACAAAGCCTTGTTCATACATAGGTGTAATAGGGTAAACCACCTAAAATGCTGTGGAAAAATAAAATTATCTTTCATGTAAATGAATGGCAAAATGGGATTACAAACATTGCTGTGTCCAACAACTTTCCGTAAGCATACACAGTTGATTGCGGATTATGATATATATACCAGTTATTATTAATTTTTTTCCCCCGTCAGTGTTTTAAAGGTAGTTTACCGCATCTTAAGTGAACAAGGCTTTATAAATGCTTCCTGCTCCAAGGTTGATCTGTGATGTAGTGATTTCTGGGTATATCATTCTTAATATTTCTCACGTATTTGGGGTCTTATTCTACTTTTGTTTTTCATAAAGTAAGAGAACAAATATATAGCCTTGAGCATGAAGGGACATAGAAAATTTTGAACTGTGTTCTGTGAAAGTCACATTGTTTGCTTCAGAAAATGTAATGAAACCTTTTCTCACTGAGATGAAATACATGTAGTTGTCACTGTTTCAATAAATTGTAATAAGAGCCTGTGGAAGGAAAATGTAGGGCGCATTCTGTGCACACAAAAAAAAGGGGAAAAAAGATTGCTGTGATGACACGACCCTACATGGTGTACTTTATGTTATTACGTTGGCCTACGTGAAATATTAGCTATTCAAGATCACGAAGCCTGATCATGGCCATCATGGTTCGGTCAAACCCTTTGGGTGGATTTTAATAACACGCGTGCTGTGGAATGTTAGGTAAACTAGACCCCAGTAGTCTCACCTTTAGTCAGACCCGTTGATCAGTTTAAACCACTCTAATTTTAATAACATATCTGATATTTTTAGCCATAAGAACTGTCGTATGTATTAAGTATCTTCTTCAGTACACATATTCATCATCATACGTGTATTCAATATCTTTACTATTGCCAAAGAGCCCTGTTCATAATGTGTTTTTTTGCTAGAAGCTCCGACTTCCTAAAGCCATTGTAACCATTATCACCACCTTTCATCAGTCATCGTCACCATTATCATGGCTCAATTACCATGACAACAGTCTACTGATCCTCAGTCGCCTCATTACCACTGTAATCATTATCTTTAGGCCTATCTTCATCTTGGCTTGACCTCTCTATCTCATTAACAAAATTGCATCCGGGCATCACATGTGGGAGACACCATCTGAGAATTCATTATACCTATCAACCATGTGTTTCACACATTTTAGTTTATTAATTTTTGATTTTTCCCTAGAGGGAGAAATATGAATTATGCATGTGTGTGGGGAGTTTGCGATAAAAAGGATCATGATCGATCATTATCTTTACTGTAACAAATAGCTGATTGAAAAATAAAATTGCTTTGATAATTAATTCGTTCCTGTTTTCACGTGGTGACGGTAGTGAGGAAAATCTGCACGCAAATTGTATGCAATTTTCATTCACTATCGTCACTTCGTGAAAATAGGGACGAATTGTAATAACAACATACGTACCACTTTTCCATTTACTTGTACAAGCAAATGACCTCAGCAGTTTGCAATTATTTTTTAATTACTTGTATCATCAGATTTAATGACAGTCTTTGCATTTACAGTGCACACTCTGAGCTCTAGGGAGTATTTTGTGTCATCATTTTTCATGTGCATCCGATATTAATTTATGTGTCATTCCGCTGAAAACAATTGCTTCTCCATACATGCTTTCTAATGGAGCTGCTAAATGTATTCATCACATCTACACGATATATAGTAGATTCCTGATCATTTGAATTAATAGTCTTGAAATCATAGTAGTGTTTTAAATGATGAGCTTTGAAGTGATTATGTCCAATGATACTAATATCCCTGCCAGCTGTTAAGAGATCCACCATCGTGAATACATTTTTTTCTTCAGTGTGCAGATCTATGATACCTGTAGTTTGTCTAAAAAATAAAGAACACATACCGGTACTTCTTGTTTACCCCTTTTTGTATCCACCACTGAAGGACTCTCTGTCATATAAAAGATAAACTCCAGTACTGGTAAAAAAAAAAAAAAAATTCTCACAGAATCAAACGAAACTTACACTGAATGTTCAAGATTACAAATAAATGACATGTGCCAAACAATTTTGGAAGAAAATGTATACTGGCTGAGTAATGAGCATAGAAAGACAAGGAAATCAAGATAGTACTAGCCCCGACACCATGTGTGTTGTCCCATATATAGCTTTCTATGTGAGTGCTTGTTACTTTACCAAGACTCGGTCAAATTTATTATGATTTTGATGACTCCAGAACCTTGCAGTGCACACCAATACTTACATGCTACATGATCAACTGTTTCTGATCCTTTCCACACCTTTTCTTTCACAATGCAATCGCATTACCAGTACTAAAGTTTATCTTTAATCGTGCTTGATAATGTATTTTTCTGACAGAGAGAATGCATCTCTACCTTTAATAGTGCCTTGAGACTTTCCGTTTCTGCCCACTTCATTCTTCCCATTCATACCACCATCAACCATCAAGAAAACAGTTCGATCATCAACCCGCCCTCGCGCATTCGGTTGAGAGAGAAGGCGGAAAGTGAATGATTTTTGTCAATACGCCAATATGGTTCCTAGAAAATTAACCAGCATATTGATGTTTGCCCGAAGTCAACATCAGGGGAGTGTTTCACAAAGATCCTAAGTCAAACTTAACTCTAAGTTGGACTTAAATATTATGGAGAGCCATTTGTAGCCTTAAAATAAAATATGTTCAAAGCAAAAGTTCAAGTATTTTAGACTTTTTGTAAATTCCACTTCAAGAACATGAAATCTCCTTGATAATAGAAAATATGAACTATTTAAAACAACATTTTATGCCTTTTAAAATAACTTATACAAAATATTTTCATAGATGCTAACGGCTATCCATAATTGTTAAGTCCAACTTAGAGATAAGTTAAACTTAGGATCTTTGTGAAACACCCCCCAGATGACGTAAGTTTGTGCTGAGTGTGAGGTCGGATTTCAAGGAGTCGTACTTGTCTGCTCTCAAGTCGTTGGTAGCTGTGAAGATGATGATGATGGTGGGGCAAATGACCAGGGATTGGAATATTGTGATGCGATGTATTTGATGGACCCCGAGCAGTTCATATTACTTCAAGACCTGGATGCTTTAAGATTTATCTCAAAAGTCCGGGTTGTCATCTGCGGAATTAATTTCCATGCCATGAAAGGCAAGACATAGTCATGTTTTAATGATTGGCACCCATGGGTGTGGTGTTAGAAAGGGCATCTTAAAGACTTAAAGATGGGAAAACAGAAGACTGCGTAATTATCATACGTTTTAGTAGCCGCAGTTGATGATATTTTGGGCCCGTATTCAATTCATTTCTTAAAGGTAATACAGAGTTTTGGTATAGGGTCATGAATTTGGTTCAAATGAACATATTGGAAGCATATGCAATCCTACACTATTCAGTGATCGTTGTCGTGTTTGAAATTGAGTCTAAAGTTATGAAATTGTAAATAATAAACTATTTATGTTGTATAGCTTCCTCTCAAGGTTAAGATAATACTTAAGCTATCAAACAATGTTTCTTGACTAAAATCGACCAATTAGCTATTCCCGTCTTGAAATTATATATCACAACTACATATTCTGAGATTTTCAGGGTCGCACCTACGATTGTACGGCCGTAGGCGCTATTTGAAATATATCAGAAATTTACCGGGAGCACCAGTAAATTTTTATATTAAATTTTTATCGAAAGCACAAGTGTTTTAGGGGCTATATTTTCTAGTGCTTTTAATACATCCTCAGGGGCATCCAAATATATCAAAATTGTAAAGAATCACTATCCACCCAATTTTCATAATTTTCCAAAACTTTGTATTACCTTTAAGTCAGAAATATGAGTATTTTAAATTAATTTTCGGCGTAGATAAAATACTTAGCCAACTTTGGTATTCAGTTGATGCTTTTGGCTAAGTATTTTACCCTAAATTTAAAAGGCTCCCAAGCAGACTTCAGTCAATTTTTTCAGAAGCAATGTTTGGCTGGCTTGTAGTTTTCATATGCAGTCATAACAAGCTGTGCACAATTAAATTAGCGTGCATTTATTTTAATGCAACATTTTGATTGGGCATTATTTTGATTGGGCATTATTTTTGATTGATCATTTGACATTACATTGCTTATCACTATCAGTAAGTATTTTGCCTTAAAGTTTTTTTGCCAAGAAACATTTTCAAAGTGATGATGGATGAGAGGTGTATTGGTGTAATAGAAAGAGGTTATTTTTTCAGGATCCATATTATGGTCATGCCTGATACTTTATGCTCGGGAGATTTTGTACATATTCACTAATGATATGGTTAAAAAAAAAAATTGTAGGTAGTAATGATTGGCACACTATTTGATGACACATTAGAGCTCATGATGATATTATTAATTCAATAAAAAAAAAGGAAAAAAAGAAGATCTAATGCAGATATGAATGTATAGTATTTGTTTTGGCAAACATGTTGATATATATTGATTGTGTGACCTTTAAATGTATGTCTTACCCGTGATTGTATGTTGGGCCATGCATATCCTAATGGGACAAGGGATGCAGATATCGGTAGGACTATTCTACATGTATATATTCGATCATTGAAGATGAATGCTGTATGCAAGGGATTTGCTTGTCACATCTTGAAATCTTTAACTTTTCTTGAGTGAAAAGTAGATTGGAATATTGTAAAACATCATGGCTGGAGTTCATATGGACCTCTGCCACATTTCTGTCACATTTTCTTTAAAAAGAAATTCATCTATTCAGTTCTTTCTGTAAATTTATTCCTTCTATCTCTCTCCCTCTTTCTCTCTCTCCCTCTTTCTCTCTCTGCCTCTTCCTCTCTCTGCCTCTTCCTCTCTCTGCCTCTTTCTCTCTCTGCCTCTTCCTCTCTCTTCCTCTTCCTCTCTCTGCCTCTAATTTTTTCTCTCTCTGCCTCTTCCTCTCTCTTCCTCTTCCTCTCTCTGCCTCTAATTTTTTCTCTCTCTGCCTCTTCCTCTCTCTTCCTCTTCCTCTCTCTGCCTCTAATTTTTTCTCTCTGCCTGCCTCTCTCCTCTCTCTCTCCTCTCTCTCTCTCTCTGCCTCTAATTTTTTCTCTCTCTGCCTCTTCCTCTCTCTTCCTCTTCCTCTCTCTGCCTCTTCCTCTCTCTGCCTCTTCCTCTCTCTTCCTCTTCCTCTCTCTGCCTCTTCCTCTCTCTGCCTCTTCCTCTCTCTGCCTCTTCCTCTCTCTGCCTCTTCCTCTCTCTGCCTCTTTCTCTCTCTCTCTGCCTCTTCCTCTCTCTGCCTCTTTCTCTCTCTCTCTGCCTCTTCCTCTCTCTGCCTCTTCCTCTCTCTTCCTCTTTCTCTCTCTGCCTCTTCCTCTCTCTTCCTCTTCCTCTCTCTGCCTCTTCCTCTCTCTGCCTCTTCCTCTCTCTGCCTCTTTCTCTCTCTCTCTGCCTCTTCCTCTCTCTGCCTTTTCCTCTCTCTGCCTCTAATTTTTTTCTCTCTGTCTCTTTTTCTCTCTTTGTATTTATATGTGAATGTCTTTCAATCATCCTTGCATAAATAAACCTTATCCGTTTTTGAATGAATTTAGTTTGTATAGATCTCTATATTTCAGTTCTACTTTATCAAATCGTTTTTCTAACCATGAGCATTTCTCATATAACTTTATTTCCAGATCTTGTTGACTACTCCATGTGGCATTACCCACCAAGCCATCATTTATCTGGGGAAAGGTGACCCATCTAGGGGTCGTGACCTGTGACCCTATCCCATGGATCGTGAAGCAGAGTCCGTTGCCTTGGAGAAGAAACATGTCCATGATGTCTATGAACGTATCGCGCCCCACTTCAGTGATACGCGGTACAAGGCATGGCCCAGGGTTAAGGAGTTCCTGTTGGAGCTGGAACCTGGCAGTATCGTAGCTGATGTCGGTGAGTATCTTAGCAACGTTCAATTGAAATGTGCAGCAGTTAATTTCTGGCATCTCAAAGTTAATATCTGAAGACGTTTGGCTAAAATTTAATCTTTCACCCCCCCCCCCCTTGTTTCCTGTTTGTTAAAGTAGGCAGATTACAGACGAACAGGAAAAAAAAAGGATGGATATGCTGAGAAGACAGGATGAGAAAGAGAAAAGAGAGAAAGAGAGAGAGAGAGAGAGAGATAGAGAGAGAGAGAGAGAGAGATAGAGAGAGAGACAGAGAGGCAGAGAGGCAGAGAGAGAGAGAGCGAAGGCACTTCTTCATCAGCTAGAGCTTCAGAAATTAGATTGATAAGTGCTTCCCAGGTAATAAGGCCAAAGGTGAAGTTTCCTGTCTCCATTCAAACCCAAGAATGGAACCTTAATGGTATTAGAAATGTGATTTCTTTAAAAATAAAAATAAATGCTTGTGTACATGAGATGGTGGTAGCTCATGATTGCTGGTACACTCTAGCATTGAGAATTAAGTCAGGGAACATTTTTACTGCTAATTCAAGCAGTATCTTGCCAGATAGAGGACTATTATTTTCATTAACAATGGGATGATGACAAGTTTCCCACAAAAAGCACAGTGATGAAATGGTCTGCTAATTGAGTGTTCGCTGAGAAAAGTTATTTCAGGACTGTGCTAATTAAATTGCTGGCTCTTCGATATCTGACTAATGAAGTTGTGTAGAGACTGGAGAGAGAGAGAGAGAGAGAAAGAGAGAGAGAGAGAGAGAGAGAGAAAGAGAGAAAGAGAAAGAGAAAGAGAAAGAGAAAGAGAGAGAGAGAGAGAGAGACAGAGAAAGAGAGAGAGAGAGACAGAGGGAAAAAAAATTTAATGAGAAATATTACTGATATTTACTTGAAATTTGAATTACGGTGAAGATTTTTCTTCCTGTCCCATATTTTTTCTTTCTCGCTATCTCTCTCGCCATCTTTGCTTCTCAATATCTTGTAATCATAGTGAAGCAGCTTACGATTTTGATGCATTTAAGAGAGATTAAAGATTCAGGTTATTACGCTCTCAAAGTAGGTCTGTCAATTATGTTAACTGAACGTACATGTACCGCTAGGTGTTTTAGTAATGCATATCACATGAGCTCATTTTCTTCTGTGTCATAAATTATGACAAATAGTGCTATGTGTATGTAGGTATACACATGTAATATTTGTTCTTTTTGAAAAGTCATCATTTTGCCATGGTTATTGAATATTATGGAAGATCAATTTAGAGAGAGAGAGAGAGAGAGAGAGGTGGAGAGAAAGAGAGATAGAGAGAGAAAGAGAGGGAAAGAGAGAGAGAGAGATGGGAAAATAAAGAGTAGAAGAGGGAGAGAAGAAAGATATGAATATTTTATATGGTTGCCATCATACAAACTATCTGTGTTGATATCATCCGGGACTAACAGGATCATATTGCGGTCTTGAGAGATTTGAATAATGGATCTTTCCATCGATACTATCCACCTCAGCAATATCTGGGCATCCTATGTCATCGCCAGAAACCCTTAAGCGCATTATGACGATTCGTTTCATCGGTAATATTGTTTGAGCTCACGGGAAATATTACATCGCAACGTATAAATGGAATGGAATAATGTGTTTTCCCATCAGCACAGCCTGCATAGGAGATATTATGGAAAAATCTTCACTCGCCACTTTCACCGTTCTAATATGTCAGTTTCTGTGATAGTCGTGTTATCCATACTGAAATAGGTATTTTTGTTTAAGCTAAGAGAAATGGTATCACTATTCTAAGGGATGTGAAATTTTGAATGATAGATCGTTCCATCAATTCTACTCATACGGGCAATATTTGAGCTCCATTAATTGTCTTTTTGAAGCAAGAAGGGCATTATTTCTCATATACTTGTATACAGAGTTAACACCCTTCTGGCTCCAAACAAATACAGTAATATTATCACTGAAGACCAAGGAATTAACATTTTCGGTTATTTCATCCATCTGCTCAGTATCACCCAATTGAAGTGTCTACTCGAAATCTTGCTCATTTATAACTCATTAGTGTCAATTCTATGCCATTCATTACCTAAATTACCTAAATAACCCTGCCCTCATCCAGCTTGGGTTGGCAATGCATCATTAGTAAAAGTCTATATGAAATTGAAAGGTCAAGTCATATCAACAAGAAGTGGAAAAGATAAATTTGCTGGATGATTTTGGCCTCGTTCGTTCATAGCCGAGGGAGTGACAAGTGTTATTGCTTGGTATAAGGTTTGAATATTTTATGGATCAATTTGGGGAATAGTGGGTCCCGTAGTAACTCCACAGATACTGAATCAAGTTGTAGAAGTAATTTAATAGGTTTTAAGTATATGTCCCATCCATGCTTTTTGATGTTATGCTTGACTCTTTCCTGTGTTGCTTTCTGTCATATTTTTCATCCCTTTTTTATTAGGTTACTCCCATGCTGAGGTTGAAATATACTAGATTTCTCCTCCCTTTCAATTATCCTGCCCTTTTCTGCATCATGCTATTTCTGTGCTACCTGGTTTCTAATTATATCCCAATTAGGAGGTTTTGTCTCCTTCTATCACCTCATTACCGCTTCTCTCTCATACCCAATGGGATGATCTGCACATTAGCTATAATAAGCATTCAAGGCAACATCACTTTCCTGTGCCATGATTCAAAAAGTGCATGGACACTACATTTTGTAGGTCATACTTTTGTCATGCCCCATGCTACTATATGTACATACATGTACAATATTCAGTATATTGTATGTTTAGAGCAAAAAGGGAATTAAGTATTATACAGAGTTAACGTTCTTCTGCCTTCAAGCACACGGTATAATATAAAACATTTGTTATGGTAAGCCAAATAACATTTGGATTCCCTTTTGCTTTTTATCATTTCCTATTTGTCCAAGCATGTTGAAGATAAAGGTGAGTTCTGGTCATGCGATTGCATTGTGAAAGAAAAGGTGTGGAATGGATCAGAAAAAGTTGATCATATAGCATACATGTAGGTATTGGTGTGTAGTGCAAGGTTCTGGAATCATCAAAATCATCATAAATTTGGCCCAGTATTGGTAAAGTAACAATCACTGTACACAGAAAGATGTATATGGGACAACACAAATGGTGTCGGGGCTGGTACTACCTTGATTTCCTTATCTTTCTATGCTCATTACTCAGCCGGTATACATTTTCTTCCAAAATTGTTTGGCACATGACATTTATTTGTAATCTTGAACATTCAGTGTAAGTTTCATTAGATTCTGTGAGAATACATTTTCTTTTTTTTACCAGAACTCAAGTTTATCTTTAAGGAAAAAGCCAAGATGATTTTTTACTGAATTTCATTTACGTGCACGTGGTGTGATTCCATTTTAGCCTCCGGGGAACGGCTCATCAGGCCGATGTACACTACTACACTACTCAAAGAGTTAAAGCTTAATCATTTTCTTTTTGTCGTTACTTATTCATAAAGAGTGCTTGAATTGAAAATGATCATCAGGCATGGTAGGATGGAGCGCTCAGCGTTATGAATGCATAATGTGGTAGTTCTTATAATGGCCCAATACTCGGAATCTCCCTCTTCCACTCATTTAATATTCATTGAAAAGATAATATTTGAGCTGAAATTCAAAGAACTATGATAATCGTTTTGGTGTTTCTGAGAGAGAGGGGATCAGTGGGCAATGAAGACGCTGACAATTATTTTTCATCACTCATGTATATGTATCCATCAATTTGGATTAATGTGCTTCCTGTATGAATAGCCAATTCATTTTTTCCTTGGGATTTTTTATTATATGATGCACGGTTTATAGTGAATCATCATAAATGTAGAAAGTCATTTTTAACTTAAACCTGAAAGGAGAGTAAATGTCTTCCTTTCCAATCCAGATAGAAATTTGCCTGGAAGAAATATTTCTGAGGTTAGTTTCACAATTCTAGTGAAACAAGTTTGCAAGCTTTTTGATATCATGAAAACAAATAGAAATCTAGTCTGCTTTAATAAATATATGAAAGTTAAGGTACTTCTTGGAATTACGTTTGTAAAGTGAGATTATCTTGTTATCATTCATTTCCTTTTTCATCATTAATAAGAGACAAAATCTATATCATACAGTAAGCTTTTATAAGTATTTAATGCCTTTAGAATAATTTATTCCCAGTCAACATATTTGCAAAGTCTTTTGATCTGTGTGCCCCAGTTTCAGCATCCATTCTAATCCACTTCGCTACCAAATGGATTCAATCAAATTGGATTAAAGTAGTCAAATTTTTATATTAGTTTTCACTTTGGGATTGAGTCCAGACAGAGTAAAACAAAATAAAATGAATTCATTTCAGTTGCTACCCAGGGAAATGAACGTTTTTCCATACATTTAATTTACTTGTGCTTGTGCCAGTTTCCAGGACATTATTGCCCAAGTACTTGTAATATTTTCCAATGGGAAATCAAAATTCATACGTAAAAGAGAAATAAATAGGAAAAAAAGATGGAAGAACATCAAAACACTTGATGTCTGCTTAGAGCCAGAAGGGTATTAACCCTTTCATGACAAATCCTTCCACATTTGTTTGTGGTTTGGCTCAATAACTTTTGAGCCGTAAAAAATATGCCAGATTCATGAGTAGAAATAGCACAAATTTCTGCATATACTGCATCCGTTCTTGTTTCATGGCTATCTTGCAGTTCATGTCTGGAATTTAAAAAAGGGGGAAATAAGCAAAAAGTCTTCAATTTGGCAACACATTGAGAAATTCAAAATCATTGTTTTTCGATCAATATTAGCAAATTTTGAACTTTTTTTATAACATTCCCTCCCATGTAAATTGTTTTCACAGACATTGCATTTCATTTTTAACAATGTAGCAATAAAATAAAAATATTATTGTTGCCAATTTAAGGGACAAGATGTGATCAATTTAGCCCTAAGAATAAATCCTGTCATAAAAGGGTTAAATGAATAATTACATAGAGCTAAGGCGT